AGCTGCTCAACATAGCAGCGGCTCATCGTTGTCGTCGTCACGTCCATGAATGACGTCACGCGATTTTGGATGATTTTTTTACCCCCCCCACCCCCACCCCCTCGTCACACAGCGTCACAAAAAGTCAGACCTACCCCCCCCCCTCAAATATGACGTCACAAAGCTCTGCACCGCCCCCCCCACCAAAAAAAAAAACATTTCCATTTTGAAATTCAGTGATTCATATTCTTAGCTCTTTCGGTAAAGTAACGTTGAAGGGAAACAATAAAATAATAAAAAATATATAAAACAATAAAAATTCTCACGACGTTTCCCTTCAACGTGACTTTACCGAAAGAGCTAAGAATAATCACACGTTAATAACTAAACACAATTATTGATCGCTATAATAATCACATTAATCACTAAACACAATTATTGATCGCTATGATAATAATCACACTTAATCACTCAACACAACTATTGATCGCTATAATAATAATCACACATTAATCACTCAACACAACTATTGATCGCTATATTAATAATCACACTTAATCACTCAACACAACTATTGATCGCTATAATAATCACACTTAATCACTCACCACAACTATTGATCACTATAATAATCACATTAATCAATCAACACAACTATTGATCGCTATAATAATCACACGTTAATAACTCAACACAATTATTGATCGCTATAATAATCACATTAATCAATCAACACAACTATTGATCGCTATAATAAGAATCACACATTAAGAACTCAACACAACTATTGATCGCTATAATAATCACATTAATCACTCAACACAACTATTGATCGCTATAATAATAATAATCACATTAATCAATCAACACAACTATTGATCGATATAATAATCACATTAATAACTCAGGACAACTATTGATCACAATAATAATCACACTTAAACACTCAACACAACTATTGATCGCAATACTAATCACATTAATTAATCAACACAACTATTGATCGCTATAATAATAATCACACTTAATCAATTAACACAACGATTGATCGCTATTATAATCACATTAATCACTCAACATAACTATTGATCACTAAAATAATCACACATTAATCAATCAACACAACTATTGATCGCTATAACAATCACATTAATAACTCAACACAACTATTGATCGCTATAATAATCACACTTAATCACTCAACACAACTATTGATCGCTATAATAATCACATTAATCAATCAACACAACTATTGCTCGTTATAATAATAATCACACTTAATCAACACAATGATTGATCGCTATTATAATCACATTAATCACTCAACATAACTATTGATCGTTATAATAATCACATATTAATCAATCAACACAACTATTGATCGCTATAATAATCACATTAATAACTCAACACAACTATTGATCGCTATAATAATAATCACACTTAATCACTCAACACAACTATTGATCGCTATAATAATCACATTAATCACTCAACACAACTATTGATCGCTATAATAATGATCACATTAATCACTCAACACAACTATTGATCGCTATAATAATCACATTAATCACTCAACACAACTATTGATCGCTATAATAATGATCACATTAATAACTCAACACAATTATTGATCGCTATAATAATAATTACACTTAATCACTCAACATAATTATTGATCGCTATAATAATCACACTTAATCACTCAACACAACTATTGATCGCTATAATAATAATCACACTTAATCACTCAACACAACTATTGATCGCTATAATAATAATCACACATTAATCACTCAACACAACTATTGATCGCTATAATAATCACATTAATAACTCAACACACCTATTGATCGCTATAATAATCACATTAATCACTCAACACAACTATTGATCGCTCTAATAATGATCACATTAATCACTCAACACAACTATTGATCGCTATAATAATCACATTAATCACTCAACACAACTATTGATCGCTATAATAATGATCACATTAATAACTCAACACAATTATTGATCGCTATAATAATTACACTTAATCACTCAACACAACTATTGATCGCTATAATAATAATCACACATTCATCACTCAACACAACTATTGATCGCTGTAATAATAATCACATTGATCACTCAACACAACTATTGATCGCTATAATAATCACACATTAATCACTCAACACAGCTATTGATCACTATAATAATAATCACATTAATCACTCAACACAACTATTGATCGCTGTAATAATCACATTAATAACTCAACACACCTATTGATCGCTATAATAATAATCACATTAATAACTCAACACAACTATTGATCGCTATAATAATAATCACACTGAATCACTCAACACAACTTTTGATCGCTATAATAATAATCACACTTAATCACTCAACACAACTATTGATCGCTATAATAATGATCACATTAATAACTCAACACAACTATTGATCGCTATAATAATAATCACACTAAATAATTCAACACAACTTTTGATTGCTATATTAATAATCACACATTAATAAATCAACACAACTATTGATCGCTATAATAATAATCACATTAATCACTCAACACAACTATTGATCGCTCTAATAATCACATTAATCACTCAACACAACTATTGATCGCTATAATAATGATCATATTCATAACTCAACACAATTATTGATCGCTATAATAATAATGACACTTAATCACTCAACATAATTATTGATTGCTATAATAATAATCACACTTAATCACTCAACACAACTATTGATCGCTATAATAATAATCACACATTCATCACTCAACACAACTATTGATCGCTGTAATAATAATCACATTAATCACTCAACACAACTATTGATCGCTATAATAATAATCACATTAATAACTCAACACAACTATTGATCGCTATAATAATAATCACACTGAATCACTCAACACAACTTTTGATCGCTATAATAATAATCACACTTAATCACTCAACACAACTATTGATCGCTATAATAATGATCACATTAATAACTCAACACAACTATTGATCGCTATAATAATAATCACACTAAATAATTCAACACAACTTTTGATTGCTATATTAATAATCACACATTAATAACTCAACACAACTATTGATCGCTATAATAATAATCACATTAATCACTCAACACAACTATTGATCGCTCTAATAATCACATTAATCACTCAACACAACTATTGATCGCTATAATAATGATCATATTCATAACTCAACACAATTATTGATCGCTATAATAATAATGACACTTAATCACTCAACATAATTATTGATTGCTATAATAATAATCACACTTAATCACTCAACACAACTATTGATCGCTATAATAATAATCACACATTCATCACTCAACACAACTATTGATCGCTGTAATAATAATCACATTAATCACTCAACACAACTATTGATCGCTATAATAATAATCACACATTAATCACTCAACACAGTTATTGATCGCTATAATAATAATCACATTAATCACTCAACACAACTATTGATCGCTATAATAATCACATTAATAACTCAACACAACTATTGATCGCTATAATAATCACACATTAATCACTCAACACAACTATTGATCGCTATAATAATAATCACACTAATCACTCACACAACTATTATCGCTATAATAATCACATTAATCACTCAACACAACTATTGATCGCTATAATAATCACATTAATAACTCAACACAACTCTTGATCGCTATAATAATAATCACACATTAATCACTCAACACAACTATTGATCGCTATAATAATCACATTAATAACTCAACACAACTCTTGATCGCTATAATAATAATCACACATTAATCACTCAACACAACTATTGATCGCTATAATAATAATCACATTAATAACTCAACACAACTATTGATCGCTATAATAATCACATTAATCAATCAACACAATTATTGATCGCTATAATAATAATCACACAATCAATCAACACAACTATTGATTGCTATAATAATAATCACATTAATAACTCAACACAACTATTGATCGCTATAATAATCACACTTAATCACTCAACACAACTATTGATCACTATATAATCACACATTAATAACTCAACAAAACTATTGCTCGCTATAATAATCACACTTAATCACTCAACACAACAATTGCTCGCTATAATAATAATCATTAATTACTCAACACAATCATTGCCCGGGTATGATAATCGCTAAATTAAGCGCGTGGGATTTTTCTTTGTTCAAATTATTTTTTGTCTTCACGCATATTAATGAGGTTTAAAAAAAAACCTGAGGTCATAATTTATTGTATTTTTTTCTTTAAAAAACACCTGAGTTAATAATTTATTGCATATTTTTCTTTTAAAAAAATCCTGAGGTAATTTATCGGATAAAAAAACTGAGGTAATTTATTGCATATTTTTATTTAAGAATAAAAAACCTGAGGTAATTTATAGTATTTTTTTGCTTAAATATAAAAACCTGAGGTAATTTATCGCATATTTTTCTTTTTAAAAAAACTAAGGTAATAATTGTATATTTTTATATATCAAAAAAAAATCTGAGATAATAATTAATTGCATATTTTTATTTAAAAAAAACCTGAGATAATAATTAATTGAATACTTTTTATTTAACAAAAAACTGAGATAATAATTAATTGTACTTTTATTAAAACCTGAGATAATAATGAATTGTATATTTTAATTTAAAAAAAAACCTGAGATAATAATGAATTGTATATTTTTCTTTAAAAAAAGAAAACCTGAGATAATAATGAATTGTATAGTTTTAATTAAATAATTAATTGGATAATATTTTTCTTTTAAAAAAACCGCGTTAAAGTTGCCTCCAATATCCGCGTGCTTCTTCCCGCCAATTGGTGGCGGTCGAGAGCAAAATTCACCCCCCACGCCCCTCCCCCCGTCACGCCCCCCGCCACGCCCCTCCCCCTTCCACGCCCCTCCCCCCTTCCACGCCCCTCCCCCCTTCCACGCCCCTCCCCTTTCCACGCCCCTCCCCCCCCCGACTCATTCTGAAGGCGTCTAGCGCGAATCGCTCAACGTCAAAACGATGATTTTATTGTGATTACAAAAGCGACGAACGGAACAGCAACAACAACTGTTTGTTTGTTGTTTGGAGGGGGAGAGGGGTGGGGGAGAGGGGTAAACAACAATCGCTGGCAAGTATCGACAATGGTGAGTGCTTTAAGCGGCGGTGTTTAGTGAGCGAATTTTGAGGCCTAGGAACAGCTTTAGGTAAAAAATTTTTTTTTTTAAAATTCCCACTTCCTCTTAACATCACTGAGGTGATTTTCAAAGGAATATAACGACACAAACGAAGATCGACGGGAATTGTTGTGCGCGCAACAACGCCGTTCTGTTGTTCGTTTATTACAAAAAAAATGTTTTTGTTGTGTGTTACGTGGTGCCTTTTAAAGGCGTTAAGAGCGTTCTAAGTTGATTTAGCATCGCGTTCAACTCTATAAACTGTGTCCGTGTCTTATTGTTGAATGGATTAGTTCCCCCTTCATATACTCTCTCGTCTATCTGCCTATATAAACACTCGACGCGTCTGACTATTTCGTTTTAAGTAACGTCAAAACTCGCTGCGAGTAATTAGCGATATCTTATTTGGTTCTTTCGGTAAAGTCACGTAGAATGAGAGTAAAATAATAAATTGATAATATAAAATAACGCAATAATATTCTACGTGGTGACTTTACCGAAAGAACCAAAAAAGATGAATCCTTGCAGTCGCGAAAGCTTTAAATCGAAATTTAATTAGCGATAACTAGAGATCGGTCGTTGTGGTGGTTGTGTTTAGGAGCGGTGGCGCTGCGGTTAGCGCAGCGCCGCGCTACGCTACGAACCCCGGGCCACCCGAATTTCGATTCCCGCTCACGGCCAGGGCCTCTCCCCCTAGGTCGACTCGGCCTCAAATGAGTCCTCTGGTTCTGTGGTGTGTGGCAGTGAACATCAGCCACTGGGGGAGAGACAAAGGCGGCCGGGCGTGTGCCACAGCGCCGGTAGCCTTCATAGGCGCTGCTCGCTAACAGCACTTGCCCCTACAGCCTGTTAGAGGCTACACGGGGGATCTTTGTCTGTGTATAGGTGCTGCAGCTACTCGCTACTAACAGCACTTGCCCCTACAGCATGTTAGTTGCTACACGGGGGATCTTTGTGTATAGGTGCTGCTACTCGCTTACAGCACTTGCCCCTACAGCCTGTTAGAGGCTACACGGGGGATCTTTGTCTGTGTGTAGGTGCTGCAGCTACTCGCTAACAGCACTTGCCCCTACAGCCTGTTAGAGGCTACACGGGGGATCTTTGTCTGTGTATAGGTGCTGCTGCTACTCGCTAACAGCACTTGCCCCTACAGCCTGTTAGAGGCTACACGGGGGATCTTTGTCTGTGCATAGGTGCTGCTGCTGCTTGCTAACTGCACTTGCCCCTACAGCCTGTTAGAGGCTACACGGGGGATCTTTGTCTGTGCATAGGTGCTGCTGCTCGCTAACTGCACTTGCCCCTACAGCCTGTTAGAGGCTACACGGGGGATCTTTGTCTGTGCATAGGTGCTGCTGCTACTCGCTAACAGCACTTGCCCCTACACTCTGTTAGAGGCTACACGGGGGATCTTTGTCTGTGCATAGGTGCTGCTGCTGCTCGCTAACTGCACTTGCCCCTACAGCCTGTTAGAGGCTACACGGGGGATCTTTCTCTGTGCATAGGTGCTGCTGCTACTCGCTAACAGCACTTGCCCCGGCAGTCTGTTCCAATTTGAGTATTTACTCTCCAACAAACCGTTGGGCTGAAGTAGTACGCTACACTATACACTACACTATACACTACTATACACTACACTATACACTACTATACACTACACTATACACTACACTATACACTACTATACACTACACTATACACTACTATACACTACACTATACACTACACTATACACCACACTATACACCACACTATACACTACACTATACACAACACTATACACTACACTATACACTACACTATACACTACTATACACTACACTATACACTACTATACACTACACTATACACTACACTATACACCACACTATACACCACACTATACACTACACTATACACAACACTATACACTACACTATACACTACACTATACACTACACCACTATACACTACACTATACACTACACCATACACTACACTATACACTACACTATACACTACACTACACCACTATACACTACACTATACACTACACTATACACTACACTATACACTACTATACACTACACTATACACTACTATACACTACACTATACACCACACTATACACTACACTATACACTACACTATACACAACACTATACACTACTATACACTACACTATACACTACTATACACTACACTATACACTACTATACACTACACTATACACTACTATACACTACACTATACACCACACTATACACTACACTATACACTACACTACTATACACGACACTACTATACACCACACTATACACGACACTACTATACACCACACTATACACTACACTACTATACATTACACTATACACTACACTATACACTACACTACTATACACTACACTATACACTACACTACTATACACTACACTACTATACACTACACTATACACTACATTATACACTACACTATACACTACACTATACACTACACTATACACTACACTACTATACACCACACTATACACTACACTATACACTACACTATACACTACACTACTATACACCACACTATACACTACACTATACACTACTATACACCACACTATACACTACTATATACTACACTATACACTATATTCTACACTATACACTACACTACTATACACTACACTATACACTACACTACTATACACCACACTATACACTACACTACTATATGCTACACTATAAACTACACTATACACTACACTATACACTACACTACTATACACTACACTATACACTACACTATACACTACACTACTATACACCACACTATACACTACACTATTATACACTATACACTACTATACACTACACTACTATACACTACACTACTATACACTACACCACTATACACTACACCACTATACACTACACTACTATACACTACACTATACACTGCACTACTATAAACTACACTACTATACACTACACTACTATACACTACACTACTATACACTACACTATTTTTCACTACACTATTATACACTACTATACACTACACTATTTTTCACTACACTATTATACACTGCTATGCACTACACTACTATACACTACACTATACACTACACTAGTATACACTATACACTACACTACTATACACTACACTACTATACACTACACTACTATACACTACACTATACACTCCACTACTATACACTCCACTACTATACACTACACTACTATACGCTACACTACTATACACTATTATACACTACACTATACACTACACTACTTTACACTACACTATATACTACACTATTATGCACCACTATTATACACTACACTATTATACACTACTATACACTATTATACACATCACTATACACTCCACTACTATACACTACACCACTATACACTACACTACTATACACTACACTATACATTACACTATACACTACACTACTATACACTACACTATACACTACACTATACACTATACACTCCACTACTATACACTACACTACTATACACTACACTATACACTACACTACTATACACCACACTAGTAACCAATAGGCATTTTGTTTTTGTGACAAATCCCTTAGCCGGTTGGCCGTGTTGGGCGGTGGAGGGGGTTTACGGCACAACGCTTAACACTTGACGCGATCCAAACCAAAACACCCTTTTTTGCCGCGCGGAATATTGCCCGCGGAGACCCGCGGTGCCGTGGACCTTCACTCCGTCCGTTCCGCTAAAGTTGCGCCAAGCACGCGCCCAAAGCGTTCCACGCGGTTCAAAACCTCGCGGTGGGGTTTGGCGATTACTCGGACGCGGACGCGGACGCGGACGCGGACGCGGACGCGGACGCGGACGGGCGGACGACGACGGGCAGTGCCATTTTATCGCGCGCAAACGCCGGGAGGCAGAAGGGCGATGCGCGGCGATTACAAACAGGCCCCCCCCCGCAGGGTGGGCCGGTGAGGAGCGTTGGAATTTTTTCGCAATTTGACGACGCTGCTGCCGCTTGCAAACGTTGGGTGCAATAGGACGTGGTATCAAGTCGTCTGCGCTGTCCATTGGCTGATTTTTTTTTACACACACCCCAACAGCACGAGATTTCACTTCGTTAAAGCGCTGAAAGGGGACGGACCGACGGACCGACGGACGGACCGACGGACGGACGGACGGACGCATTAATCTATTGCAGGCTTGGTGCACTCAGTTTTACAGTCTTTGTTCCTACCAGTATAATCATTTTGAATAACCCAACCGGCGATGGATGCCCATTGTACTTCAGAATACATTCACTAGTTTGACTGCCCGGCTTTGCCCGCCGCTTGAATTCTTGCCCTGGAGTAACGGACGGCCTAGGCGGAAGGTGTCGGGGGTGTGGGGGGATGTGGGGGGATGCGTGACGTCAGCAGGCACACCTCGTGACGCTGCTGCTGCTGTTGCATGCGGGTGACATCACGGACGTGACGTCACCGCTCACTTGCCTTTGCGAAATATTGCATGCATCCAAAATGCAAAACGTCTATTTTTAATACTTTTTTTGCATTGTGCACAGCCTGGACGCTACCCACATGGCACATTTCAAGTTTGTCGCATGTTCGGGAAGTACGCGCAACATTTCGAACGGACGCGCACATTCACAGATTTCCCTTTTTTATTCATATATAGATTAATTCCACCACCACCACCACCACGCACAAGAAGAGCTCGCAAGCGACGCCATCACATCTGCCCCCTCGATTCGAGGAACGAATCGGGAGGATTTCCCCGCTAATGTGGCCGTCCGCCCTGACGATACCGCTTGTTACTGGCGACGCGTGACGGTGTTCCGATGGCAAAACGCTGCGGATTTGCCCGACACAACGCAACCGGTCCAGTGCCGTGCCAGTAACGAATTGGCCGCGTGACAGGCTCCTCACCAATTGGCTGCGTCGGGTGGTTCGCGGGTTCAACGAGGCGCTCGTTGAGGTTTTTCACACAACCGTCTCAGT